AACATAACTGACTGAATGAAGAATGTGATTTTTTTTTTAAATAATCGTATAAAATATTTTTTCAATACACAACTGCGGAATTATTAATGTACACCTACACCTAGCTTATGGGTGGCATTTAAGCTAACTCCTGTGGAGAGCTCTTGATTAGGCCTTCGGCTTGTTCAGAAGTTTGAAAGTCTTTAAAGTCTTTGCATTGGAAGCTCTCATGGCTGCTGTTTGATCTGTGTTTTCATTTTCACACGACTTTCCTTTCCTCTCTGCAGCCTTGGCTCTTTTGATTGCAATCTGGTCGTCTGTTGGCAGAGATTTCTTTTTGCGAAGCATACTGCTGCAGTATGCGACAGGCAACAATAAAATACAGAAAAACTCAAAATTGATCGCTGCATTTAAGTACTGCATTAATATTTAAGCATACCTTTTAAAAGTTCAATGATAATTCTTCTTCCGCCACATAATTCAAAGACAATTTGATGTGGTAGGCTCTTCCTTTCCATACAAACAATTATTTTTATTTCATGGGTGACTTTCGCTGGACTTCGCAATTCATTTCGATTATTCCCAAATTTATTTCCAAGTTATAAAAATTGTTGTCGTATAAAAAACTTCATCGCAAAAAATCACGTAAAAAATCGCCGGACACAATCGCAGTAATGAAAATTGGGGATCCCCAAACTTCTGTAACATAAGGTTGATGAAAGTTAGAGAGTTGTGTCCCTTTAATTGAAAAAAAGTGACACAATGACCCACTGACATTCATTTATTTATTTATATATATATATATATATATATATATATATATATATATATATATATATATATTAATTGATTTAAAAAATGTTTTTTTCGCTACACAGTTCTAACCATGTTTCAAAAATGGAAGCTTTAAAGTCCCGAATTTAATTTCGTAATTAAATTAAAGAAAGACATTAGTTCCATTTCATCCTCAAGCGAATTATATATATATATATATATATATATATATATATATATATATATATATCTCAATCCAGGTAAGATAACGTGTATAATTGCACTGTCCGTAACATTTAATTTAAAAGAGGGTTCAATACAGATTAGAGCTAAATATTATTTATTATCGGAGATTAAAACAAAAACATGTTAAAAAAACATATTGTCAGTCAGAAACGAAATTGTCTAGGATTCGATGTAGACAACTTCATGCCATGAGCTATATAATTTTCAGTTGATTTAGATTTTAGCGTGGGCCTCATATTTGATTGGTTAATCGCGATAAACCCACAGGCCTCATTTTAATTCTGTTTTTTTCTTCGTCTTCTCTTTCTCTTTCAAAAAAGAGTAAGTATTCTGCTTTTGAAATTAATCGTTCACTCACCAGTAACTTATTATCGCCCGAGGAGACACATTTGTAGTGTTGAAACACGATTGTTATTGTGTATCGATTTTAACATGTTTTTGTTTTAATCTCCGATATGTTTCATTGACTGATATAGACATATTGTGTCTACTTATTTTTATACTGATCCTTTCCTATTGTTTAATCAGTTTCTTGATGTTATGATGAAATTCATCAAGGAAGAAGCTGTAGTTTGTTTTGTTTTTTTGGGTTTTTTTCCCAAGTACTTTCGACCTTTTCTAAGATCATCTCCAGGGGTAAATTACAAATTACCCATTGTAACTGCGATAAAAGCTGCATTGTGTTGTCATAGTGATTCTAAAATATCTATAACAAAACACGTTCACGCGTGTTTTTTTTTTTAAACTCTATGACAGCAGAATGCAGATTTTATCGCAGTTACAATAAGTATGTCTTTGTAATTTACCCCGGAAGATGATCTTAGAAAAGGTCAAAAGTACTTGGTTAAAAAAAACGTACAATTCTTTTTTTTGATTCGTTTCATCTTAACATCATGAAACTTATTAGACAACTGGAAAGGATCAATATAAAATAAGAAGACACAAGACACAATATGCCTATATTCTATGAAACTTGTTTGAATGAAGATATGCTCCCTACAAACACACACACACACACACACACACACACACACATATGTATTTTACATTGCATCTAGACATATATTTATGCTGTTAATATTTCGGTCTCTCGCGTGGTACGACGTCATAGAACTGCATCATGAATTTCCGCGACCGTTATCGTCGCATAGAAATAAACATAACAGAATATCATCTTTAATGATGAATATCTTTGTTTAAACGTCCGCATAACCACTCTGAAGATGGCCCATGAGAGCCGAAAGCTTAAATCAAGTAACAGGTTAACAAAAAAAAAATTCAAATTTTGGACAGTTTTTGTCTTTATTTTCACCCGAAATTAAAGCAAATATACGGAGTTTAGAATGGCTCATGATCAAACACAATAGACATTCATTGTCTGTTATATATATATATACATATATATATATAGCAAAAGTTAATGATTTCTTCGAGGTCTACCCGGATAACTTTACGGACAGTTTTGAAAATTGGAAGAGATGCTAGTGTGGTAATTATCATCACCATCATACATACAAATCATGCGACAAGCATTCATTGGTTAATCTCCTCAAAACTAGCTCGCTGATTGGTCAATTCCGACCAATCAGATATCCTGCACGCGAGGAATGAAATGTCCCGCCACTAAGGTTTGAGTCAGTCACGTGATACACCAGCTTATATAAACAAAACACGTGTAATCTCTCTCTCTCTCTCTCTCTCTCTCTCTCTGTTTTCTCTTCATTCATCTTATTCCTTGCTGCCAAGATTGAATCTTCAAGAGCTCCGCATGTACGAACTCTTAACTCTTCTGAACTCTTACCAACTTTACCAATTCACATTTCCTAACACGCAACAGGAACTTTATTCTTCTAAAACTTCAGTTTAATAATTACTTCCTCTTTATGAGCTCCGGTACAAATACTTCCAAATCTAAGATATATAACTCATTCAAACCTTAAGCTTATATGCATGTACATCAACACTAATAAATTCAGTTGTTATGTTTTGAAACCATTACGTTCTGTCTTGTATTTTATACTATGTGCTATTTTACGTCAAATATAAATTGCATTGTGACCGCTACATGTTTGGTAACCTCCACCGTCTTTGCTTGTCCTTTTCTACGTCATTCCCAGTCAAAGATAAATAATTGTGGTGATGCGCGCTACAATAATGGTGACCCCGTCAGAAATAAATATTTGTGGAGCATATCTCTACAATAATGGTGACCCCGTCAAAATAATTGTGGAGCACGTCGCTACACTAGCCTAAGTATGCAAGATTCTAAAAAGAACTAAAGTGCCATTGCCCTAGGTAAGCTATTACCAACCCCTCGACATTATTTTTAAATGGTTGGGACACTTTCTGGACAGAAATCTTGACAGCTCTAAAATCGAAGTTGGCTTAGCAGAAGAAAAAAATTATACACAAAGAAGAATTAAATATTGAACGTTTCTTTTTCTTAACTTATCTTATTTATATTGGATAACCGCATTATTGTTGAATGGCATTAAAAACATTTAGTTCAAATTCATTTTTTAGGTTGGAAAGAATGTCCTGTCACTCGCACACGAGGACTAAATGTCTCACTGAGAGAAGGAGTTATAAAGGCTGGTCGGGGATGAGCTGACATACTTTACCCCGATTGTTTACAAGGAAGTTTTATTCGGACAGTTTCTTCCCAAGAGCCGCTACTTTACAGAACATACTCCCAAGAGGATGCTTCCTTGAACACTACAATCTTCGAGTTTAGAATTAACTGTTACCTCTCGTACGTATTCTCATAATCCACATTTTCTCTCTCCATACGACAACCTCAATTAGTAACTCTTTCTCTTGAGCCTTGGGTAAATATTTAATAAAAAGTTTTGATATGATTACTTGAAAGGTACTTTTTAAATAATTACGGCAAAATAAACATTAATTTTTGCATTTTTTTTTTCTTTAATTGTAGATTACTTAATATGAGCGTGGGTAAAAAAAAATCTGTTTGAATTTCTGTGATGAGGATTTACCACTCTTTATGTGCAGTCTGTTTTGTTATGATATGACGTTGTCGTATAAGTGTAAAGAAATAAAAATTGAACACGATTAATATTTGAATCTGCTGGGCGCCATGACGAACGGAGGGACGCCTGATCTGCGACGAATCTTTATTGCAGTTCTGATTGGTTAATAAGGGAAAAAGCTAAAGGAGATAATAAGATTTGTATTTGCTCAATACATAACAGTTGTTCCCATCTTTGTTGTTACTATCACAACGTTACGGCGGTTATGCTCTCTAGCCTTCACTAGGTAATTTCGAAATGAACCCATTATTTAATCTACGGGGGGGGTTGATTAAATAAAAGGTTTAGTTCGAAATTCCCTGAAGGTTGCCCGTATTGACAAGATGATGAAAGCCGAAGGTCACAACGGCCGAAATATTGTGATAATGACAAGAAAGATGAGGACAATAGTCTGCATATATCTAATGGGAAAATTTTGTATCGATTTTTTTAATAAAACATAAATTTACTCCAGATTAATTAATTCTTTCTTTCACCCCGGCCTTTCTATCTTTTTCCATTGTCATTCATCCATTCTTTCTTTCTTTGAATTCACGTCTTTTTAAATTTTTACTTTTTATCATTTTTTTTTTTTACCAATTCTTAATTTCTTTTTTACGGCGGGGTAATGGACAGCGGCTCGGATTTAGGAATCGAAACGCTGAGTTCGAATTCCAGTCGAATCCATTACATTGCTAATACCCTTGGGAAAGGTATGAATACTCTTCTCCCCCCAGCTATGGGTAAATAGCAAGACAGACCGGTTTCTATAGCCTTAGATGACAACTGGACTACCGCAGAAAGAAATAGCAACCTACTGCGAGAAGAATCTGCCTCGTCAGTCATGTATCGAAAGATACATGATCGCTTAAGCGTGTATCACGCATGACACATAACTGACTGATTTTTCTTATTTTTATTTCCGTATAAGTCTGTCTTTCTTTCTCATTTTTTGGCTTACAGACACATCACATTGAAACACCGGTTCTCGTATGATCACCGAAGTTAAACAACGTCGAGCCTGCTCAGTACCTAGATGGGTAACCGCTTGCGAATTCTAGGATAGATGTAAAAATAAACAGTTTTAGTCACGCTAAGAAGATTAATGAAGGATAATGACAAGAAAACACACGGGTGATTTTACCAAAACAAGATAAGGAATTTATTCACGAATTTGTATGCCTGAAGTAGTCTTGTATCCCGTTTCCGGAAAATAAATCAGAATTCTTAAATTCCGTAGTTTTAACGTATTGGCATGAAGAGGAAATGTTCATGCAACAGATTAAATGATCTGATAAATAATAATATTCAAAATAGTTTATGACCAAGGTAAAAGATTTAGTTGCTCATCGAAGGGATATATGGTTGACATACGTTTAAAAGTAGACGAAAACAGTTTGAAATACAAGAAAAAAAAAAAAAATAAAATAAAATAAAAAAAGGTAAGATAGTTCGTTGCTCACAAAAAGGATATATGGTTGCGTAAAATCAAAAGTAGACAAAGAGAGATAGTTGGAAATACTTTGCTCTCTTGGATTGTTGAGAGAAAATTGATTCAAGCGCTACGTGTTGGTTAGAGGCCGATAATATAATTGGCAATTAATTTTTCACTGGCGAGAAATTCAAAGCTGGGCATATGAACAGAATCGAAACTTTTCACGTGACATCAGACACCCTTCTCTTCTTAATTTAATTTTTTTCCTCGTTTTATATCAAAAGAAATTTCGCATAGATTCGGTAGTTTCTTTTCTTTCTTCTTTTTGGCTCTTTTTGGCGAATTTCTGTGAAGACAAGTTTTTCATTGGTCTAAAAGCAATTTCAAATAGGCTCGCGAATTTATTTCCTCAGAGCACCGGCCAATCTTTCTGTGAAGGCATGGTTTTCATTGGTCCAAAGAAAATTTCACATAGGCCCCCGAATTTCTTTTCGTCTTTTCCTTCGGCTCACCTGATTTGAATGAAGTGGATAAAGGGAGTTATTATTAATTCGTACTGACCACACATTATTCTTCCATTTAAGTATTCTGATTTATTTTCCTGAAACGAGCTACAGACACCACTTCAGGCGTTCAAATTCGTAAATAAATTCCTTATTTTTGTTTCGTTAAAATTACCCGTACGTTTCCTCGTAGTTATTGTTGCGGGGGTATGTACGTTGGTTTTTCAGGTGGGATACATGTGTCTCCTGGAATGTTTATTCCACAACAAAAATAGCAGACTTGCATGTGTGTCCGTGTAATAAAATACAAGAAACAACTAAAGCCAATATATATACAAACGAGCGATAATGTATTATTGAGACAAAAAGTTACATTGTTACGAGCGACAAAGACAATGATATTGTATATATGTGACAAAACAATGAACATGCGTGAAAACATTTAAAGACTAGTGAATCGTTTGTTTTATGTAAAATGTGTGTAGAAGTCCTAGTAAAATGAAGTTGCGCATATACTTGTGTGTGTGTGTGTGTGTGTGTGTGTGTGAGAGAGAGAGAGAGAGAGAGAGAGAGAGAGGTTCACGATAGACCTACACACAGAAAAATAGGAAAAGAGAATGATAGAAAATATTACAGTGTATTTATGGGTTCAGAAATCGTCCCCTGGTGGCGGTTTTTTACTTAGGAAAGTAAGTGGGGTTAACTCCACATTATCACCTTCCATTAAACTTCTTGGCGTAGATATATCAACTGTTCATTTTAACCCCTAAACCCACGTCACTATAAATGACAACGGTTTATCTCAAAACATCAGACAAAAAAAGGCTACGAAAAAAGTTATGATCAAAGTAGCAACAATGAGGATATTACTCTGAATAATAATAATAATAATAATAATTATTATTATTATTATTATTACTATTATTATTATTATTAAATTAAAACATTGCCAGCCATTATTTGCTTTTGCGTATTTTTTTTCATTTTAATTTCACTTGCTTTTCATCACAACTGAACAGACCAACATTCTAAAGCCATTAGAAATACGAGTAAAAACTGATGGTGGATAAGACTCCATCTAATAAAAATTTAATAAAATAGATCGAATGACAGTTGCAAGTAAACAAAAGATGGTCCAATGAAAAGTGTATATAGAGAGAAGCACTACTGGACATAAACAGAGTAGGCATGCATAAAAACGTTTTTTAAAAAATAGCAGGACAGAAAACGTGCTCTTCAACATAAACTCTAAAAAAAAAAAAAAAAAAATAAAAAAAATAAACACTCATAAAAGAAAAAAAGAGATCGGACAATTATTTTCTTCGTGGCAACTGAGAAAAGCAACAATACATAAAACCATGGACAGATCAGTATTAATAAAATCTTAGGTAAGATCGTCACTGGTTAAGATGATCAGGGACAAAACAGCAGGATCGGATAGAATTGTAATTGAGAGACCGTCAGCTAAATAGGACTTTGGAATCGATAAGATTACTAAAATGATAAATGGAAGAGCTATCTTCATAACGATGCTAATGAAGCCAGGTGCAAATAAATGCGAACTCCATCGGACAATCAGATTAATAAGACATATAGCTGGCGGCTTGGTTTCAATCACTTTCCCACCGCCGTAAGGTTGCTTCTCTGTGATTTTTCTATAAATACTTTCATGGTAAATGTTAGGATGAGTTCTTCACTATGGTACCTAGAGATTTTGAATTTAAGCGCAGTACGAGACTGGCGTTGAGATATCATCAGTTTACAGTTGAGCTGGCTAGATGTCGCCGTAAGTTCTTTTCTCGCACTTCTCGCTTGTGGAACTCCCTTCCGGTTTCATGCTTTCCAGTCAAATTTAACCCGCAAAATTTTAAATGCTATGTCAATCTGTCCTCCTGAGTATCCTTTTCTCTTCCCGCCCATTATTAATGTTTCTGTCCCTAATTCTTCCACAAGCTGTAACCCCTTGTGTCTTAGTGGTTTTAGTCCCTTGCATGGGGTGAAACGGATTTTAAAAAATATATAAGATTCTCTACTATCATATATTCGGCAGATAAGAGAGACTAATCAGAACAAGAGTTATTAAAAGTTATCACTAAATAGTTGTGAAATTAAAAGTAAAACAAACAAGTATTACGAAATCAAGTTAATTAGTTATTACAGTAATCGGATTCTAAGTAAATGTGCAATTAATTGGATTCTAATCTTTGTTGACCTTTCAACTGTTGAGGTAACCCGGGAAGGATTTATCAAACAACGACGATAAAATTATTGTATGAGGAATGTCCATAAGCTTTTAACGGAAAATTCTCAATGACATGATAAAGAAAAAAGCTAATGGCAACATCAAGTTGAAACACCGATTCCTGTATGATCACCAAAGTTAAGCAACATTGCGCCTGGTTAGTACCTAGGTGGGTGACCGTTTGGAAATACCACGTTCTCTAAACTTGGATGTACGGGTGGTGTAATGGATAATGCTAATCGGAAAGCAAAGTTCCAATTCCTGTTGGGTTCGTTATATTCATTTACGCACAAATACCTCATTATTATCTCCTCAAAAACAATTCCTACAATCTAAAAATATTTTCTGACTTTAAATAACCTGCAAAGGGTTGGTAAGTCTTAAAAAACGAAACAATCGGGACAAAGAAAAATATATTGTTATACTTTTATTTTATTTTTCGGCTCTAACGACATTCAGTTGATAATTTTAACAATCTCAAAATAAATGAACGCAACATTTATTTACGTAATTTACAAAAGGTAAGAATGGGAATTATTTATCATGTTAATACTTATTCTTCTATGTGCTGTGGATCTTTAGGTTGTGAGCGATCATGGCTCTCCACAACTTCTTGTCCTTTGTAGCTCTTAGTAAGGTTTGTCGTTTTGCTATCTCTCCTGATCCCTGTTTTGCCAACCATTTACACAGGCTAAGTAGATTATTCTCTGCATTACTTTGTCCCTCTTGCCTTGAATATTTCATGTAAGTATCAAATTCTCCATGCCCGCTTTCCTTATTATGTGTCCTGGAATTCTCAACTGTCTATTTTAGATTAAAAAATACCAACACAAGCCAAATGAAAACAAGATAATCAAGCAAAGTAAAATTCTAGCGGCATTAGGTTACCAGTTTATAGTGGCACTGACCTGTTTATAAAAAGCAATGATTACACCAGTGTTGCTGGCACCGTGGGCAAGCTGAAATTCGGCTCCCTTACAAGTATAATTTCTTTAAATTTTCACATGGAGAAAAAATAAAAATGTAGAATAAGGAGTGTAATGCAAAATACAACTTAATGCAAGCTAAAGAAAACATTCATTATACGACCTAAAACATTTTTCTAGCCTTTAGATCTTCAAATCTTTGCAAGGCACTTTCTACATCTATCTTCTTTACAAGATCATTTTCAAATAATTTAATCTATCTTGAGTCATGGACGACCACAGATTTTTATACACTTAAGTTTTCGAAGATCCCAAACATATGACATGGTGGCAAGATTGTGCTCTCGGCTTTGATAGCGCCCCGGTAGATTATATATCTAAAAGATAAACGAAATAAAGGGTTCAGTTCGACATTCCAACCACATGAAGAAGGCCGGAGCATACAATGGCCCAAACCTTGTGATAAATATAGCAACAAAGATGAATACAATAATCCGAATAATGTAAATAGTGTACATAATACCTCATCTCAGAAATATAGACATATCACGTCTTGTTCTTATTTAGTACTGCTCATTTATTGCTCGCCCTGTTTCCACAGAGGCCAAGTATATACTTCCCGGTACAGTGATTGAAATCGCAATTATTATGTCACCAAATGCACGTGTTGCATGTTGGCTGCAGTGAATGATCTCAGCTAGGCCTTTTCTTTTGGCCGGCGATCGCCAGTCGTTTTCGTTTAGCCATGAAATTTTAACTTAACTATTTATATTACTCATTTCGACATGTACATTATCTAACTATCCAGTGGGTGTCGTCCCTGCTCACTGGGAAGCCGTTTCGGATACGAAAGAGAACACGTCTACATCGCTTGACGGGTAAGAAACAACTCGCTGAAACTTTTCTCCTATCTCTTTCCCGCGCTAGCTCAGTCAATTAGAATCGACTTCTCTGTTATGGTTACCATCTGACCACGGCTGTCAACCTTCGGGAGTCGAAGCCGAGATACACTTAAAAATAATAGTCTGCTAAACTATTATTTAACACACGGATTAGTGTTTTAATTCGAAAGCTTGTAGTTCCTTTTTCGTTTACTCGAAACATTGTGATAACAACAAAGAAAATATGAGACGAGAACAACATGTGTAATTAATGATAACTCCTCATACCAGAAATTCAGGCAGAAAATATATCAACTTTTCTTAGGCTATTTAATGCTGGAGTTGGCACCAACTGAAGATTGAATTCAACGAGACTAAGTTCACTAATAAACTACACCACGCTGTTGAAATTATCCGCGCCACTGCTAAAGAGCCCCTATTTTTTTTTAAATAATGCTTTCATTGAGCATTTTATATGCCTCTAGTGAGTGCGAAATACTAATAACTCCCTTAACCCACTCCCTTCAAATTCAGAAGACGGGGAAAGAAGAAGGAAAGAGCCTGTGTGAGAATTTTGCCTTTCACAGAAATTAACAGGTGAGCAGAGACGAAGGAAAGAAATTCACGAGTGTATGGGAAATTTTTTTGGGCCAATGTAAACCTTGCCTTCATAGAGATTAGCCCGTGATTCAATAAGTAGTAGTACTTATCTTTGTTTTAAACCTTTTTGAATATTATTTTATGTCAGATCTTTTAATCTGTTGTATGAACATTTCTTCTTCATGAGAATAAGTTAAAACTGCGGACTTTATAAATTCTAATTTATTTTCCAGAAACAAAGTTACGGACTCAAATTCAAGTGTGTAAATTCGTGAATAAATTCCTTATTTTGTTTTGTTGAAATTACCTGCGTGTTTCCTCGTTATTATCATTCTTCCTTAATCTTCTTGGCATGGGTGAATGGCCCCACATCACGATATGTCCAATACAACCATGATATACAAACTAAGGGCTTAAATCCCTGGGTCTGCTAATACTGGAAAGTCACGCGCTTTGTTTCAGTAGACGAAAGGAACAAGTGATGCCAAAAGCGAATAAGACTAAAGTGGTGAGTTCAGAAGCGTTTATGCAGCCTTGTGGCTGATGAATTATTTTCAACTCTTCAGCCTCTTTCCCACCAATGAGATATAACTGCTATATCACTGCCCTATCACCATTTCCAAGTTCTACTCAGACAAATTCTTCGTGAAAATCACTACTTTGTAAAACAGACTCCCAAGAGGATGCTTTCTTGGTAATTACAATCTTAACCTTTTCAAGTCTAGAGTCACCTGTCATCCATCCTAAATTTCCTCGTATTCTGCACTTAATTCCTCCTATGTTCATTCAACTCACTTAGTAACCCTCTACACTGAGTGGCTCTTGGACCTTGTGTTGGTGATATACTACTCAATGCAAAGATGTGTGTTATGATGTCATGGATAGTGGCTTGGCATGAAAAATTGGAGAGCTGAGTTTGATTTCAGTTGAGTACGTTGCATTCACTTATGCACAAATAGCTTTGGGAAAGAGATGAATCAATCTCTTCTCCCCAGCCATGTGATGAATAGATTGTCCTGTAGCCTTGGTTGGCAACCAGTCTACAGGAGAAACAGCAACAGCAACCTACTGTTCAAAAATCTTCTGCCTAGTCTGTCATGAATCAAAAGTGGCATGACCATCCAAGTGTGTATCACGTATGGCACTTAACTGACTGAAATGCAAGCTCAAAATATTAGTGATGTCATGCATTAGAAGTCCTGACTTATAAAGCAAACTTCATGAATGCCAGAAATGGTTTTGTATAAATGCACACAGTGTTCTCTTTATTTTCAAATCTTCTGCAGGATTCAAAAAGAAATGGAATTCCAAGAGAACAGGTTAATTTCACAGAAACTGAGAACAGAATTTTTATAATAAATTTATCCGATTGCTCTGGAATTGTGCATTGCCATAGGAACAAAATATTTAAACATCAAGTTTCCGTCTGAACAACATGTGACTCCTGCTTTGTTTTCATTTAGATAATCTCTTAATCTTCACTCGTGACACCAGTGTGACTCTCTATATCTATCTGACTGCTCTGGAATTGTACATTGTCATAGGGATGAAATATTTAAAGTCCAGAAGCATTTATGCAGCCTTGTGGTTGATGAATTATTTTCCACCCTACAGCCACTTTCCCACAGATGAAATGCTGCTAGCCTCTCCCAACTCTATTGCTATTTTCATGACAGGTGCTCGCGCGAAGTATATTCCCCGCATTCACCAGTTTAGATCTTCACCGCTAGGACCCGATAAGCCACGTACATTGAGTCGATTCATCCCCATTCTTTTAGTATTCCATTGGTAAAGATGAAGGTCCGTTCAGACAGATTCTTCCCCAGAACTGTTTCATTGTGGAACAGAATCCCCAGAGGATGCTTCCCGGATCACTTCAATGTTAACCTCTTCAAATCTAGGGTCAACCATTATCTATCGAACATATTCTCATAATATGCACCTCTTACCCCATCCTTACACGTCCTTAAAACTACCTCGTGTGTATATATGTATGTGTGTCTATGTATGTGTGTGTGTGTTTTTTTTTATTTGAAAGATAATTTTTCAGTGTTGGTTTTGAGTCCAAATTGGCTGGAAAAATTACAACCTTGGATGCGAAAAATCGAAAAAACTAATTTTTTACACTTTGCGCAAAAATCAAAGACAAAATTTAATTTACTTTTTCACACATAACCTTCCACTGTGTCACGCGATGTGTCACGCGCATACTCATGACATGCGAAACGCGATCCCTGTTCGAGTTGTCCATTGGCTGCACGAAGCCCCTTTACACGTCCAATCAAATGTCACCGTGTCATACTGATTGTCTACGCAGTCCTGAGTTCATTGCTACCACTTAATTCTGCAATTTCGCTTCTACTTTTGTACGCCCAGCCTTGCTTACACATTCCCCTTCTCTCGGCCGAGGGTTCACTCTCTCTCAACTTAGGTTACCTGCATAAAGTCTACTTCTACAGTTTTAAGGTGTTGCTTTTATTGTCGTTTATAGCTGTTCCCGATTTAAAATTTGTTATTGTCCTGCCAGTTTTTGCATTGCATTCACCGTAGTAATAAGTAAGCTTGCTTTTTTATTACTCAACATTTATTTTTTTCAACCTTTCTTAAAGTTATTCGAGCTTAGTTATTCCTGTAGATTTTACAGCATTCCCTTCTGGTATTTGCCCACGCATTTCATTTGACAATTCACACTTGCCTAAGACATGCCGCCAAAGCAAAGAACTTGCTTAGGTCGCAAAACCGCTGCCGCCAGGTCCGCCATGCGAATAACGAATCGTCTTCAGAACATT